TACGGTGCTCTCAGTCCAGTCATAAACTAATTTGTGCCAGGCTTGTGCTTCTTCTTCGCTCAAGCAATCGTTCCAGTCATAATGCTTTTGCCAGAAGGTTTGAAAATAAATCTTTGCATGCAAAGTTAATGGCTGAAATTGGCCTAACGGATCGTAAAGCGAGGCTATAGTGTGCAGTACTGATCGCTTCGTGATTGTGGTGGAGCTATTAAAATGTGCTTCACACTGTGGAAATGTTATCTGAATTGTGTCCTCTTCTATGTCCCATCTCACACTTAACATTTTGGTTACTTTGGCCTTCTTATCTGAAGCATTCTGCTCCCATTCATTGATGAAGTCGTTAACTACTTTTGAGTTTAAGATATATCCTCGCAAATTCATGCTTGCATCAGCAAACATTTGTTTTGAATTCAGGCATTTTTGAGCTGTTTCATCATTAGAACTAGCAGTCAGCATAACATTGTCGACATAGGTGTTCTCACATATCTCGTCTGTCAAGTTAGTGCTATACTTCTTAAGATGATGACGTATAGTAGCTGTTAATAAGAAAGGCGATGATGTCACACCAAAAGGTACCCTCGCAAATCTGTAAGTTATTAGGTTTTCCTTTTATGGTTCTTTCATGACATTTTCTAGGCAAAGGAATCGCGTGCAGTCGCCATCTGCTTCTGCTAGGGCTATTTGCAAGAATGCCTTTTCGATATCTACGATTATTATAATTGAGTGAAAACGAAAGTGCGACAATAAACCAACCAAACTAGAAAGTATCACTGGATCTCGATATAAGGCATCATTTAGTGATATTGATTGATTGCTTGCGCGTGCCAAGGCGTCATGTACAATACGAAGTTTGGTTGTAATCTTTTCTAGTGTTACTACTGGTCGGTGCGGTAAATAATGTACGATCCCATTTGGATGCACTGGGGCCAGCTCGATGATGCGTTTATCTATCTGGCTCTTGATTATTTCGTCGTAACGCTGTAGTAAGGCTGGATTACTGCGTAATCTGTTGTACGTGCTTCTGAGGTGGGCAAAGGACATGGCATAGTTTGTTGGCAATGATGGTTCTGGATGTATCCATGGTTAGTGGACCACGTATCGCCCCTCTTTAAAGGTGACGGTATTGCTAAAGTGGTTCAGAGCAATTTCGTCTTCTTGAGTTTTTTCCGTTACACCTATCCGTTCTAGGTCGCAAAAATCTTGCATGCGATTTCTGTTATCTCGTTTTGGACTGAAGTCTTCATGAATACCGGCGCTTACTGGCACTGTTGTTAATGAGCTGTCGGAGCGATCGCGATCTGTAAGCCGCAGATCGCCTCTTCCGCAAATGAGTGGACTAACTGTAGACTCTACAATGGTAAATCCGTTTGGCAGCTGATGAGTCTGTTGAGGCAATAAGAAATCCCACAGATAGTCGATACCAATTAGAATATCAGGATGCGCCAGTGCGCAGACGCAGCTTCTAACAGCGGAGTCACGTTCATCCATATCCGACGAATAATCCATCCGAATAGCACGTAACGGTGGTAGGATCTCTTTGACGGTATGAGCTGTTACTGGCTTCAGCTCGCCACTGTCCAGCTGAATTCCAAATTCTACTAACTCTGTTTCAAATTCCTGTGTCGAGAATCCAAAAGTCGATAGATGATAGTGCATGCTCTGGAGTGGTCGGAGGCAGAGTATTTTAGAAAAGCGTTCAGTAATAA